TCAGTTTGGTCTTAATTATTGCCACAAAGTTTGGTTTTACTTTTCTTAGTTTGTGCTTAAAATAACAGAAAACATTAGCTTTGCTGTTATTTTGGTGTTGCTAATAATTTCAACTTATTAGTTCAACTTATAAGTTCTTATCAAATTTGTGTTTGAAATGAATTTCGTTTTGTGAGGAGAACTGCTGAGGAAAAATAATAGAATCCCATTTTAAGTTCATCATGGTGAAGTTGGACATTCTGGCGGTGATTGTAAGAATGATAAATGCGTGTTGATGTCATATAATCATGTCTTGAATAAAATATGCCTATTTTCCGATGTTTCTCTTTCTTTTTGGCATTATCGCCTGTGTAGAGACATTTCATGATGGTAAGTTTAATTTCCTTAATTATAACAATTCTGCGTTGTTTTTAAACTTGTAGTCAAGCTATAACGTATTTGATATTTATCATGTATGACTAAAATCATGCAGGGATTAAAAACGAATTCTGAGCAAAAACGTTAAGTTTTTTATCTTTCTTTCTGGTAGCCTAGTTTGGAGGTCTCTTTTGGCCCGTTTTTAACTAAATAAAAAGAACTGCTTTAGTTATTTAGAAGCAGGGTAATTTAAATTTCATTTTTGTATTGTAATTTTTATAATGTTTATTTTATTAATCAAAATACAACGGCCACAAAATAATATTCAGTGTTGGGCTGCCGAAACTCGTGCATGTTGAGAGGCGAGCTGAGAAGTCTAATGTCTTCATCCGTTTGCAACAAAACTTTATAGTTTTGTTGCAAATGAATTAAGAATTTATAGTGCTATATCTCAGCTTAATTAAACAATTATATTGTATACACGGTTTACTAAATCTGTAAAAATATTACTCGGAAATGTGCGCTGAAGGAATTTGCGTATTTTAATTACCTGTCATGTTTTGTGGTTTTTCATCATTATGCAGTCTGTTTAAATAAATATTCAGAAACACATGCAGTGCTACTTTTTGTCTTTTTTCTGTTGAACTTTTATTAAACTGCAGCTCAAAATAGAATAGGCTTATACCCTAAATAAGGATAAATTATATTGGAACGCATCTCCAAAATAATCGCATACACAGATGCGCGTTGCCATTACAGTAGCCAGCGCCGAACAACAGGCAAATAAAGAGGTTACAAAAGTGATTCAGTCAAGATCAGTGAGGGATTTTCTTTTCTTTTGTTCTTTGATTAACATAATGACTGACGGCAGCGGCTGCTGTCAATGCACACCCTTGTTTTCTTTACGTTCACTCAAGACATAACCGATTGTATTTATGGGATATTTACATATAATTCTGTTTGTATTTGTCCATTCGAACGTGTAAGAATGCGAGAAAGAGAGCTCAGTCCAGTGTTCGCGTATATAATGTATACATGTGTGTGTGTGTGTGTGTGAGTGTGTGTGTGCGCAGCACAGAAAACAGCGCGCGAGTGCAGAAGCGAGTTCTATTTCGTCTTCTTGCAGTTGTCTTGCAATCTTTTGAAATCACAATAAAAGCGCATACAGAAATCGAGACGCAGAATCGAAATGTATTAATGTATACATGTGTGTGTGTGTGTGTGTGAGTGTGTGTGTGCGCAGCACAGAAAACAGCGCGCGAGTGCAGAAGCGAGTTCTATTTCGTCTTCTTGCAGTTGTCTTGCAATCTTTTGAAATCACAATAAAAGCGCATACAGAAATCGAGACGCAGAATCGAAATGTATAATTTTATAACAAGTAATTTGATTCCTGACCTTACGCATCTGATCTGATTTCCGAACGTGGAATAGCTTTTCGATTCCCAACCCTCCAACTAAATTATTTCATTCTTGCATGCAAAAAGACCTGGTGACTATGGGGCTATGTCAAATATTTTTTGCAACTTACTAGGTTTATCATTTGTCATTTGTTACCTGACTGTTGACATCGACATTATTAATAATTAATTTATCAACAAACACAAAATGTTTGTCATGTTTGTCATATAACAGTCAGAAAAATATTTAAAATATTTGAACGTAGTGAAACAATTGTCAATATTTTTTGTTATGTATTATTTAAATAACTTTTAATTAAATAAATTTACTTTAGCAAGCAAAACGAATACAAAAATCAAAAATTTTTCCCCCAATGTGAATCTCTCAATCACAAGAAGCTGTATAATACAGCCACTTTTTAAATGTCTGGTATGGTCACATGACAAAAATGCTGCACTGTTTACTAGATTAAAGGGATGACACATTTTACCCCACTCCCCTACATCAAAACGATGGACGAGGTTAAAGCAAGGGGAAAACAACACAAACAAACAAATGCAAAGCCTTTAAAGAACCAAATGTACCATTCGTTGACTAAATATCATCACGAACAGCTGCGAACAAGTGAATATTTGTGGAGGAACGTCTTTATTGTCAATATTTTTTGTTATGTATTAGTTAAATAACTTTTAATTAAATAAATTTACTTTAGCAAGCAAAACGAATACAAAAATCAAAAATTTTTCCCCCAATGTGAATCTCTCAATCACAAGAAGCTGTATAATACAGCCACTTTTTAAATGTATGGTATGGTCACATGACAAAAATGCTGCACTGTTTACTAGATTAAAGGGATGACACATTTTACCCCACTCCCCTACATCAAAACGATGGACGAGGTTAAAGCAAGGGGAAAACAACACAAACAAACAAATGCAAAGCCTTTAAAGAACCAAATGTACCATTCGTTGACTAAATATCATCACGAACAGCTGCGAACAAGTGAATATTTGTGGAGGAACGTCTTTGAACTAACCAAGCTAACCCAGACGCCACTCCAAAACAACCCAGTCAAATAATGAGAAAAGCAAAAGCAGAAGTTAAGCAATCAAAACAAACCCTTTAATCCCAGACCTCCTCCAGACCAAAGATACATCCCTGAATCACAGATGGCCAGACGCTTACACAACACACAAGGGTTACTGGTGTAACAAACTTTGTTTGAAGTAATAGTGGATAGACAAAACATGTCTATATTATTAATCAATAATGGCAGAGTACACTTCGAGTTTACTAACCGGAGCCTATTGTTCTCTGTTCACACTTCTAAGATTTCAAGGATTTTCCGCTACATTTTTATGCTTAAATGTTACCCAACCACAGAGACAAAACACATGGAAATACATACGAAGCCATAAACATGCTATTATCTTATTTGTGCAGATGCATTTCTAAGATTTCCATGACTTCAAACCTTTTCAATGTTTGTTAAAATTTGTTGCTCTTCTTGTGAGGCCATGTTTGTGCTGAATTCAAAACAAATGGTTCCCACTGGCTTATAAAAATCATATCCTTTTATGTCGCCATAAAATCAAAATTGGATTTTTTTTTGTGGCTTTTAGTTCTTCTTAGCTTTGGGGAAATTTATATGGTAGCCAACTTCTAAACATCAACAAAATTAGCTTTAAGTAGAGTTCTTTCTCTTCTGGAAAACAGACTAATAACGTCGATGACTCATCCTGCACTACAATGATTTTTGTCCAATCAGATTCTCTCTATACTGATGATGTCTCGCTCCCTGATAACATATATAATGATAACAAATCATGGCTAGGACATAAGTAAGCTTATGGACCTATTTCACAGATTGTGATGACCTGTTTCCACAGTTATTAATATCATGAATCTAGCAGCTTTTTGTAATTTAATTTTAAAAAGTCATGTACATTTATAACACTATCCTTTGTTTTTTTGCCTTGGTATGAAATTTTGAATTTTTTAAAATGTTTTTAATTATATATTTTAATAAAAATCAAATATGCACATTTATAAAAGTATACTTTGTGTGTCACTACCTTAGTATTTTTTTATGTATTTTAATTTTTAAAAATGTAAATACATTTATTATATTATACATTTAGTTTTATTACTTTGGTATACATTTTTTATTGTTTACATTTTTTTCAAATTTTTTTTTTATAATATACATTTATAACATTATGCTTTGTGATTTTATTAGATTGATTTATAATAAAGTGTTTTAATTGTTTAAACATTTAATGTACATTTATTACATTATACTTTGTGTTTTATTACCTTTGTATAAAAAAATAAAAAAAAATTAAGTACATTTGTAATATTATACTTTGCATTTTATTATCTTGGTAGTTTTATTTATTTTTTTGTATTTTTGATATTTTAATAAATAGAACTTAATGTACATACCGTTATACTTTGTGTTTTATTACTTTGGTATTTTTTTGTTTTGTTTTTGCATTTTTTTATATTTTTTTTTTTTAAATGTAATGTACATTTATAACATTATACTTTGTGTTTTATTAACTTGATATTAAATAGAAAACTGTGTGAGTGTTTGCAATACAAAGCCTGAGGGGAGTGATGGCAAATTTGACATTTTCTTTCTTCTGACCAACATAATCAATCTCTCGATATTTTTTTTTTCCTCTTTTGAAAAGACATAAATACACAAATATCAATTCTCTTACATAAATATCTTGTTTTATTAATTTTTTTGCTGTTGGAGTAAATGGAAACGCTTCTGCTTCTGAGAACCAGAAATGTGAAAAGTGTCCATCGACTGTTAAAAAGGGTCCTTTAAGTCCTCACAAAACTTCCTGTATTAACGATTTCATAAGGGATTTTTGTGCACAAATAAATGCATATGTGACTGTAATTATCACTGGGGAAATTAATTTTTTTTTTAATAATATACATTTATAACATTATGCTTTGTGATTTTATTAGATTGATTTATAATAAAGTGTTTTAATTGTTTAAACATTTAATGTACATTTATTACATTATACTTTGTGTTTTATTACCTTCTGAGAACCAGAAATGTGAAAAGTGTCCATCGACTGTTAAAAAGGGTCCTTTAAGTCCTCACAAAACTTCCTGTATTAACGATTTCATAAGGGATTTTTTTGCACAAATAAATGCATATGTGACTGTAATTATCACTGGGGAAATTTTAAGACAAAACACAATCCATTTGTGAATCTTACCCTCTGAGTTGAGAGTGATGAGCGTTACGTTGTTGGTATTCTGAGATAACGGCTGGCCGCTGTTGGACACCGAATCGCTCGTTTCAGAGCCGCTTTCCTGATCTTCCGGAACCTCTTCCTGGATGGGAACCTTCAGCACTATCGTCTTCTGCCTTCCTCGCCCAACAGTACTGCAACGAAAAAATAACATAAATTACACAAGAGCTGTTATGGAGAGCTTGTGCAACAGATCCAGAAATTGTCTC